TAGCGTCGTCCTGCGACTTAGTTTAGTTTAGGGTTATAAAATCTTGATTTTGTGCAATGGAGAATTTGCAAAGTTTGTAAGAAGCTATGGGTTTGGTTGAGAAGAATGGTAAGAAGCCACCGCAAGCTCAAACCCATCTACCACCGCCACCCTATTTGCCTTCTGTCTATCCGCCACCTCCCCATTTCCCACCTCCATATCCGCAACCTGTAAGTTTTATCCAATTAACACATTTCATAATCTATAAATTATGCCTGATTTGCTTACATTACAATCTTACTCCTATGCTTTTCACCCCATCTCATTCTCATATCTATAAATTATGCTTACATTACATATTTATATTGTGTCTCAAAATTTCTTTTATTACAACCCGTGGGATGAGGTTCAAATTCACAACCTGATCTATGTTCGCTCCGACAATGAGATCTCTCAAAATTCTGGCTCTTTTAGATCATCGATCTCAGTTGGATCCAATTTTTGGATTGGATGTTTTTTTAGGCTTGTTGGTCCTAATACCATATCAATTTTCATGAGATTTCATTTCAAAATTAATTGATAATGAGAAGAGTAGCACATAGTTTATTATAAATATTTTGTAGGGGTTCCTTTTTCTTTTTAACATGGGATCTTTAATAATTATAACGTCAATATAACATTTTACTTCTTTTGTTAACTAATTTTCTACATGCTATATATATATATATATATATTTTATACTTAGTAACAGCCCATTGACCTCTTGTAACTCTAGTCTCTTATTCGTGTACTGGTTAGAGAGTAGTTTTTCATTTTGAGAAGAAATATTACAAAACTTCAAGCAATTAATAAGTAGTTGAGCCTCTTCATCTCCTTCGTTTTCTCTTGTTTGTCGTGAGACTTCTTTTATCTTTTTAATTGTTTCGCAGGATCGGTCGTTCAAGATCTTTGATCTCTTGTTTGTCTATACTAGTGTATCATTGGTATGTTGATCAACATCTATCGGTGATATAATCTTATCATAATAGATGTGAGGGGATGATATATAACGGTTAAAAAAGAAACTACATAACAATATTTAAATATGGGAATGTGAATTGTCACACGAGAAATTTTTCCAATTTAAAATTATTTTCAAAGCAACTACAAACACGCACAAAGCTCTATATTTGGTCATTCTCATAGAACTCTTTGAAAACTCTCTAAAACAACTGCACCTTTTTTCTTTTGTTTTATCTTGTAAAATCACATTTGAACAATGGTCAATGGTCTTATGATGGTCACCTATATTAGAATTAGTAATTTCTATGTATTTTCTGACACCAATATTATAAAATCAGATGGTTGCCACGTGAAATTATTCAAAGTATGCGTAAACTAATCTCAAAACATTAACCGATATGAAAAATAAAACAATTGACTCATACAACTCGTCTTTTCAATGTTTTATTCATGCCAAAGGCTGGTGCGGATGGGAATGAAGAGCGTCGATTATTTCTGGGCAAGGAACTCCGTGTATTTTATTTGTTGTTGAAGAAAATGTTTGGACAGAAGAAGCCCCCGCCACGACCATTCCTCTATTCTATGGCATCTTCACAAAATACTCTCGGCGTAAGTTTCATCTGATTAATACATTTTTAGGCTAATTTTTTTCAATTCATAACTTTAATCTTTTAAAATTCTCAATTATACTATTAATTTATTAAACATTATGAATTATATTAATTAATAGAAAAAACTTTAAACTTTATGTTAACAAAATCTCCATGTTACTAGGATGCTAATTGGTATATAAAATCTAACTCCTTGCCTTGAAAACAAAAATTTTACCCAACCATCAATAAAATCTATTTATTTCATTATGTAACCCTAATTTTTATGCAAATTTAGAAACTATAATTTATAATCTAGAATAAATTTAAGATTTTAAAAAGATTAAAAATTAAATTGAGAATGATAAGAAATGGTAAACATTTTGTTTATTTAGTCTATATTTTATAATCTATAATTTATGATAGTTTAGTAGGGGAAGAAAATAATTTTTATTCCTAAATTTGACAGGCGATTGATGGGGCGAGTGGGTCCATCCCTCCAAGGAAGGGGTGTAACTCCAAGAAAGTCTTCTTTCCTTCACCAGTAAGTTACATGTCGGATTAGCACATTTTATAATTTATAGTTTATAATACAGGTTCAACTTTATAAAATTTTTAATATGATGGGTCTAATTTAAATAAATAAACGAATTTTTTACGGACAAACAATTTTAATAAAAATTAATTATTAAATTACAGTGAAAAGATTGACCATAAACATAAACATGAACAACGAATTATAACAATTAATTTTATGTAAATTATGATAAAGAAAATTAATTGTAAAATTTAAATATGAGAGGGTTAGAGAAATTTGACACCGAAAATTTATAATGGTTCGGCAAGACCGATCTATTCCACTCCCTAAGCACCTCTTAGCTATTCTATTAAAGAATGCAACTGGTTCCATGATAGGAGTCAAACCAATACAATGCCTTTTTTTTTTAGCAAGAAAAAATCCTATCATTTTTGTGATTCAGTATCAAATGAAGGAGTAGGTGCTAATTATCACTTAGATATGCTCACATGTTGGCGTTTGCTAACTATTTTTTTTGTTTTTCGTTCTCTAAAATTTTAAATTAAGACAACTAGCTTTAAATGAAAAATAAAATTTTAAATTAAGTATTAAAAAAAGTTATCTTATATATATTTTTTAATATTTATTATACATTTTATAAGTCAATAAAATAATGCTTTTATTATATTTTAGAAAAAGTTGAAAACGAATATTTATTATACATTTTATAAGTCAATAATGATAAAATAATACTTTTATTATGTTTTATAAAAAAAGTTAGAAAATGAAAACAAGAAATAGAAAACTTGGTTTTCGTTGTTTCTATACATTTTTTAAAACATATCTTAAAATTGAGACAGGAGAAACATGAATGGTAACCAAATGTTTTTATGTTTGTGAAAAAATTGTTGATGGTTTGATGTTTGATACCAACCATATATATACCATTGTTGAACTAAAAATTTTATTCTATTTTTAGTTTCTATATTTTTTAATTTTCAAATTTAATCCTTATACTTTCAATAAATATTAAAAATAGTCTCTACCTCATTAATTTGAGATTAATTTTCATCTTGATAAAAAAAAAAAGATCAACCAAGAAAGGGTACGGTGTGAATATTTTTCTCAAAAGTTTAGAGGTAATTTCTATCACACATACTATTTTTCTTTTCTTTTGTGGAAACCATAAACTAGGGAGGAGATTACTTTTAAGATTTCCTTGAAGTACCAAGGTAATTTCCATAATTGAAAGTACAAAGTTTAAAATAGGATGCGTTAAATTACATGGCGGAAAACTATATGACATCTATAAGCTTTTAAAAAATTTATAATAGGTTCTTAAATTTTTAAATTTGCTTCTGATCATAGGTTATTAATGTTAACTAAAATGGTTTAATATTTACAATATGCTACACAACTTGTATTATTTAGGGTATATTTGGTAATAATTTTTGTTTCTAGTATTTGGTTTCTTTATTTTTTTTTCTTTTACGTAGTTTTAGAAAAACAAAAATCATATATATTTGATAAATGTGTTTGTTTTTGAAAAACTTAAAATTTTGATAACCATTTTTGTTGGTTGTTTTTAAAAAGTTAGAAAGTTGAAATTATATGTTAAAAAATCTATATAGAGTAGAGACGAGGGTGGAAGTTAGAATTCCGTCCTCAAATTTTTAGTTCTCATCTCCACCATGTTCTTCCATCTAGGGGACAAAAAAAACTTGTAATTTAATAAATAGAATAAGTATGAAAATATAAATATCAAAATTATATATATTCTAACCATAAAATTATTTTGTTAAATAGATGATGTCATTAAAAAGTATTAAGACTAACATGGTTGAGTAAGCCAACTGAACTCATCAGACTCCATAACAAAACTATTCTTTTTTTTTCTTTTCTAATTCAAAAGAACATTATGACTAAAAGATATATGTAACCCTAATTTTTATGCAAATTTAGAAACTTAAACAATTGAGAGTCGTACAACGAATTATTAACACCACAAAGCTTAACCTAATATGAATTAGAACTCATATTTGGTCACAAGTTTTTTTTCCTTTATTTTAGAAACCAATCTATATTTAGTATATAATTTTAGAAATTATATCGTAACTAGAAATATTGTGTTTTTTCTAATTTGTTGCAAGGATGAAAAAAGTGAACAAGACAGTGACGAAGAAGAAGGTGGAGAAGAAGAGGGCAATGAGGGATTATTTGCAGCTGGAAATGCTTTTAGAAGAATTGTCACTGAACCACCTGCCCCTAAGGCAGGTCCTCATCCAAAACAAGAACCCAAGAAAAATAAAAGTCATGTTCTTAAGATTAAGAATCTTTTCCCCCAACATTTTCAACAGAAGAACAAAATGACATCTTCAGAAGATTTTGTAATCCAAATTGCATAATTTAGCCCGCTGTTTTCCTAGAAAAGTGGTACATTTTGGTTTCATTCTGCTTTCCAACCACTTTAATTTGTATTCCAAACATGATATCTAATTAAAGAAATATTCTTGAGATCTTAGACTCAAGTGATCCATTTATAACTCAAATATTTTATGTCGATTGATTGCAATTTAAATTCATTTTTAAAAGAATCAAAGGACTCGAGAGTGTTATGTAATATATAAAGGAGCAATTGCTAGGGGCTTTCATCATGAAATGATGCTTTTAAAATACTTCATCTCTTTCTAGTCTCTCTCGTGACAAACATTTTATTTTTCCTAATTATTCTCTACCACACAGTTTTATTTTACCACCATTCTTTTCTACAAATTTTCTATATCACTAACTCTTCTCTACCTACCGCTTTTCTCATTAAATATCTCATTGTTCAAACATATTTTTCTTACTGACGTATATATATTAATGTTTATGTTAGAATAGAATTATTTGTATTTGGTAGATGGTTAGTAATTTAAGGTAGTGTTTATGTATATATTAGTTTCATAGTTAGTTTCTTAATTCTAGTCTCAAAGATCTTTGTGATTCTCGTATATATGGAAGGAGCTTACGAGAGGAGGGGAGATTTGATATTCCTAAATAGTATTAGAACAGACACTTATTTCAAACGGTCAGACTAAAAGTGTCTAATTTAAAATATATGAGACTAAATAGACACTTACTCTAAATCTCAAGGGTCAAAAGTATCCATTTGGGGTGAATAATATTTAAAAAATAGTTTTATTTTCAGTAATATTTAAAAAAATATCCCCAAAAGAAAATCTGAACCAAAAGTGTAATTTTCAATTTATTAATCATAATTAATATAATAATATATTAAATAACGCCAATTTAATAGCCAAGTCCATAAATCACCATCATTAATTTATTCTCTTGTATTTAATTAACTAAATTTTCAAAAGAAAAACGTATGAAAGAAACAAAGATAACTTTAATTAGAAAACATCATAATCCTTGTGCACATATATCCAAAACACAAATAATATAATCCATATCCCAAACATCTAAATACCATATATTTCAATATTCATAGTACTTATAACATAGAACTTATTCCTAAGATCGTGCTTCCACTATCATCCAATCAACGCACATATATATCTAAACAACACAAAAAAAAAATGTTATATATCAATGAATAACACAAGGAAAATGAAAGGTTAAATGCATACAAAAAACATA